AAAACTTGGTGTATTAGATCTATACCCTTATCAATTAATGTTAACTAGGGCCTACGCAATATTTGGCATAGGTTTCTTTTCACTAGCCATTTCAGGTCCCAGGTTTCCACGTGGCATTTGGAGCCATGTGGAGCTTAAGACAGAGAGCAGTATATACATAAAAGATATTGCTTCTCTCAGCATGGCCAGGAGGCAGAGCTGAGATAACAAGGAGACATATTGACCTAGAGACAAATTTAGGTAAAAGGCTTAAATCAAATTTTGAAAATATATTTATCAAAACTTTAGAAGATTTAAATCACATGAACTTGAAAAGTATACTTATTTATTTAATGAGTGTGCATTAATTATAAGCCAATTTGGTACCTTACACATAACACGATTACACATACAGACAGGAACATATAGACATAACATACACCTTACACACACATATATGCAGACATAAACAATAAGAACAAACAAGGATCTTATAAGTTTTATTCAAGTTGTAAAAAAAACCTCACTAGTAAAAAGGTCAGGTTTAGATTGTGTTTTTTTAAAAAGACTTATTGGTGAGGCCTCACCTTGCTTTAAAGAAAGCAAGATAGCAAATTTACATTGTAAAGCAAAATATGCAAGCCTTTTCAAGAAGATGCAGAGAAGACTCTCTTCCTTTAAGAAAATAGCATAGAATTCTACCATAGGATTTTGTGAAGAAATGCATAGATGAGACTAGGAGAGAATTTAGAAGTCTGTTTAGGATGCCAGAAGATTTGAGATCATCTAGTTAAACAGGTAGATTTTAGGTTAGTTTTTGTTTCTCAAATGAGTTACTGAGCTTAAGGGCTAAAGTATTGAAAGCTATTTGACTGTTGAAATTTTTTTTTAATTTACCCCAGGTCAATTTGGAGCTTGTTGTCATTATTTTCATCACTGGTGGTCTGATGTGTACCATCCCTGGTGAGATGGATTGAGGTGTGAGGGTGAGGCATCGAGATTTGGGGATCAGGTTCAATTCCTCATCTGGTTTGGGGTTTCCCATAAGGTTTAACAGCCTTATTAGCAGGCATCCGTGGCGGGCCGATGGGTGAGGGAACAGACACTTACGCTCTCCTCCATGTTAACAGTTCGGCAGATCTCAACCATTGTGGTCCCGTTGGCAGGTGGCGGTATAAAACAAAGAGTCTAGGTCTCTTTTTAGGAGGTATAAAGTGTCACTCTGTGGCCATTAATTTCTGGGAATTACAGTTTAAAAAATTTAGTGTAAACAGAGCTTTAAAGACCTGTTCATGAGGGGCCAGTTCTATATCTATATTACCCCTCTTTGGTTTACTTATTTGAGATTTAAGAAGGCCATTAGTTCTTTCAACAATTGCCTGGCCAGTGGAGTTAAATGGGGTTCCTGTGACATATTTAATGTTCCAGTTGTCACAGAATACTTGAAAGACTTTGGAGGTGTATGCTGGTCCATTATCTGTTTTAATTTGCTTTGGAATCCCCATGGCAGCAAAGGCAGAAAGACAATGTTTTTTTAACATGTTTAGCAGTTTCTCCTGTTTGGGCAGTGGCATGAATAAGACCAGAATAAGTATCAAAAGTAACATGTAAATATTTAAGAGTGACTTCCACTTGACAAATTTTATTACCTGTTATTCCTCCAGGGGAACTAGATTTAGAAAACTTCTGACAATCGGGAAAAGCATGAACAATATCTTGAGCTTGCCTGTAAGATATCTGATGCATGTTAGCGAAAGCTTGTGTACCCTTGATGAAAAAACTGATGAGAATCAGTAGCTTTCTGTAAAAAATTATTATACATAACAAGTGATCAGCCATATCATTTCCAATTGATAAAGGGCCAGGAAGACCATGTGAGTTACATAGAAAGGATGATGTCTTTTTTGAATAAGTATTTGTAAATGTCCAAACATTTCAAATAAAAGAAAATCATTTCCCTCATGGATAGATGCATCTCAAATTACCAGTAAGACTCCAACTACATAGGCAGGGTCAGCTACTAAACTAAGTGGCTCACTGTAAAAATGTTGCAAAGCTGCAATGGCAGCTGCCAATTCAGCCCTTTGAGTGGGCTTATGATGGATGGTAACAAAATGTTTCCAGATTCCCTGCTCCTGCCATGTCACAAATTCCTTTCCTGATCTTCCAGAACCATAGATAAACACAGCCGATGCCCAAGGGAGGGGAACAGGGGACAAATGGGATCCCAACTGCATGGGCAGCTTTCAGAGTACCTGCAAAACTTTATCATGGGGTAATGAGAACTGCATCTTACTGACAAAATCAGTCATAGCCATCTGCAAAGATTCCAGTCGTTCAAGGGCAGCGCAAAAATCAGCCTCAGAAAGACCAGGATTAACAACATCAAGATTACACCCAGCAAGTCCTCGACAGTGGTGTCCTCCCCCAGTGAGCAGCCGAATACATCTTTCCAATTCAGTATATAATTTCCTTTTTTGTTGATGGGGTAAGGAAATCCATTCAATGACTCCTATTTGAGGAAGAAGTTGGCAAAGCAAACCTGTGGGACTATGTGGGGTGTTTAAAATAATGAAATGAATAATGTGAGATTTAACAACACATGTTAATTGTCTGGAATGTAAAAAGGATTCAATCTGTTTTAATTCTAGTTTTGCTTCTTCAGATAAGTAACAAGGGGAGACCAGGGACAGATCAGGGTCTCCCTTTAAGGTATTAAACAAATGTTGTAATTGATAATTTGGAACACTCATAGAAAGGTGGAGCCAGTTAATGTGGCCAAGTAATTTTTGTAAGTCATTTAGAGTAAAAGGCCCTGAATATGGAAAGATATACTTTGTGGCTGTATGCTTCTCTGGGTGATTAAAAAACCAAGGCATTTCCAAGGCTCCTTTTTAAAAAATTTTATCTGGAGCTACTTGTAAACCAGCATTATTAACTTGTTTGATTAAATGTAAATAAACTTGTGATAGCAGTTCTGGATTGTCATAAGCATTGTCAATTTGCCCAGTTATAGCATCTTGAAGAGGATTAATAAAATCTATATAAGGCTCAGTGGATCCCTGTCTAACAGTAGCAAAAGGTTTAGTGGGAGCATTCCAGGGACCATGCCATGGCTTTAAATGTCCCATTTGTAACTGTTGTTTAACAAATAAAGTACCTTGATTTAATCTCTCCCCTTTAAGGGGCTACTGTTCCACCCAAACCGGAGGACCAGGGGTCAATTGTAGTTTGACTGGTGGAAGTGTGGCTATGGCCATCATGATAAATTTTGAAGGAGATGTCCCAATATAAATATCCCATTGAGCAGGGAGGTCTTGGCCCCATAGGGTTTGAGGTAGATCTGGAACATAAGGCATAATGGAGGCAGTTTGTCCCTCAGGGCCAGTACACAACAAAGGATTTTTACTTTGATAAAGAATTTTAAACCCACCTAATCCAGTAAGTGTAACTGGTGAAGAAGTTACTTTCCATAATGGAGTCCAATCCTTTTTAGCAATTATGTTAAGATCAGCCCCCAAATCTGTAATTAATTTTTGTTCAACAGATAACATCAACAGTGGCTGAGTCTTATCTAATCTTTGTATCAAAAGCACATCAGGGGAAGCAAAAGGTTGAAGTTTAGATTTTGTTTCAGGAATTTTGTCCCAAGCCTTTATGGCTGCTCTAGTTGTTTGATCAAGTAACATGTCCATGCTAATTTGAACCTCATCTCATAAAGTTTCGAATGAAATAGGATGTAAGGCTTCCCAATATTCTTGTAGTCATACAGTATATTGAGCAGGAGTTAAAACAGTTTTTCCAAGTATTTTCCAATGCCAAGGGGTCATATTATATCCATTAGCAATTGATTGTAAGCATTCCTTAGTAAAAGTACTATGTAAGCCATTTTCTGTGATGCTCTTTTTAAATCTCTTAAACAAGGAGAATGGGAGGTCTTCATGTCTCACAGCAGGCGTGCAATCCTTTAATCGAAAGCCACCTTTGCGATCCCCCTTACTGAGATTCCCCTCTTGACAGAATGAGTAGACGTCCTCTTTTTCCTTTGCCTCTTTTGTCGAGGCCTCCCCTTTTGATGGGGACTTCCCTCTTGATGGGAACCTCCCTTTTGATGGGATGAGTGGCGGACGCCCTCTTTCTTTTCACCTCTTTTGTTGAGGCCTATTCTTTCTTTTCCTTTACAAGGCTTGGCAGGTTTGTCTCCAATCCGTGGACCCAGAATTTCCTCACATGGGGCACCATTTGTTGCTTTGCTTCCTATGGATTTGTCACCCCCTTTCCCCTGGGTGATGGAGCCACCAAAGATTACTCAAAGCCCATCTCTTCTGAGCAGTGAGACACCCCAGAAAGGGGCTAATATCCCAGAACGCTCAAGCACAAGGCATTTCTTCCCTCTGGGAAATTAACCACGAATTGGGGTTCTCTTCCTGCCTTTAGTCTCCAGACCAAGAAGTTACAGGAAGAGACATAGGTGGGGTTTTGCTAAGTACAGTTTACCAAGTTTTTACAATAGAAGCTGGTAACATTCAGTAAAAAACAAGTCAGTGACATTCTATTAGACAATGAAGTAATCCACTAACAAAGGCTTGATTTAGCAAACATTCCTTCTCCCTCCAGCAGCTTCCCAGTAACTTTACATATCAATCAGTAACTAGTCTGTCTTTGAGCCAGCAACCTTGCTGTGTTGCTATTCTTTATCTAACCACAGAGACTAAATAGCCTGGGGAAAATTTCCAGTTTTTTGTAAGGTTAATATTTGAAACTGCAAGGCTTTGGAAAACCAGGCCCTGTGAAGTACATTTGCTTTATGAATCCTCTACACCTTGGAGGCTGTTGGAACAAATAGTGTAGAGCCAGCATCATCATGTCTAAGATGAAATTCTGTCAAGGTGTGCTGCAGTGGGAGATGGGGTTGTTGGGAGATCCAGCAGATGGCACACTTTCATATTGTCTCTGGGAACTTGGGAAAGTACTAAGTAAATCCTTATCTGTTTCCTCCTTTCCCACCTTCAGGCCTCCTGGTGGGCACCCTTGATGTCGTGTTGGACTCCAGCGCCCGGGTTGCTCCTTACCGAATCCTGTACCAGACGCCAGACTCTCTGGTCTATTGGACCATTGCCTGTGGTAAGCGGTGGTATTCTGGGTTAGAAATGCTGGGATTAATAACTCACAGGTGGAAGAGAAGGAACATGGACTTGCTGAATGCAGTCACTTGGTACTTTGGGGTTATTAGCCTTGGTTGTTTCAGCACAAGAGCCCAGAGTCTCAGTAGCTTAACACAGTAAAGGTTTGTTTCTCATTCTGGTGAAGTCTTGTTCAGATCATGTGGCCTCTTCCCTCCGTAATGACACCCTTTGGGACACAAAGCCTCCAAGGTCAACTTACAAGAGAAGATTGGGAGGGTGGAGCAACATCATTTCCACTCAGCTCCATTGGCTAGAACTAGTCACAAGGGCTCAACTCACCGCAAGGAAGCTGGGAAATGAAGCGGAACACGCAGAATACCTGCATGTACGGAGTAATACTTGCTATATCCCAGCATAGTACTTCCTACTGAGCAGGGATTGTTTATTTCTCCTGATGATGATCTGTAATGCTGTGCTGTGCTAAATGGTGGTGTGCGGTTCTGTTATGAGATCTCTCACAAGAACTTCTCACCCAAAATGGCCAGCTTTTGACAGTTATTTATTTGCGTGTGGCTTTTAAAACAACCATAGGAAAAGCAACGGCACTAAATGCTTTTTTAAAAAATGTTTTTGCATCCACTGATTTTTTGTTATTATTAATAGATTTTATTTTTTTTAGAACAGTTTTTAATTTACAGAAAATTTGAGCAGATAGTTCGGAAAGCTCCCATACACCCCGCACATCCATAGTTTCCACTATATTAGCGTCTTAGTGTGGTACATTTGTTACAGATTCACGAATCTAGATTGATACACTATTACTAAACAAAGTCTGTCATTTATTTAGATTTCCTTAGCTTTTTGTAATGTTTTTTTT